TTTCATCAAAAAGCCGGAAAATGCACACGTGTGGGCTAAATCCGAAAAATATTTTCCGTGGAAAATTTCGCCTATCAAACAGAAAAAAAAGTGAAAAGTGAAAAATATTTTTCTACTTCCTCGGAAAATGTGGCCTATCAAACACGGCCTTAGATAGATAAGTGACTAACTTGTAATAAAGTTTCACTTTAGTACCCAACTTGAAGAAAAACAAAAGTTTAGTGACTAAGATGAAAAGTTTGGTGACCATTCGTGAATTCCACATGTTTGCAAATTAGCAAGTCATGAAATTTGGGAACCGGAAATTCTCTCATTTTGGCCTGTAAGCCATAAGGTCATGTTTTTTTCTTTATGATTTTCCATTTAAAAAATAAAAGTAATGCTATTCATAGTCGCTCACTGTAGCAGTCGTCATATGTAGCACGCACATGACACGTAGTTATTTGATGCATTAATGTGATTTTTTTTTTACCACATTAATGCATTAAATACACACATGACATGTGTGTGCCACATATGACGATTGCTGCAATAAGCGACTGCAAAAAATATTATTCAAAAAATAAATAGAAGAAGAAAACAAACATGTATTTTGCACCAATCATATCACAGATGTGACAAATTTTATGTGATTTGGTACAATTATGATTAATTCGTCACAAGTTCCATCAATATTATAGAGTGTTTGACATAACAATCGATAATCAATTAGCATTTTGACACTTTTCATATAATGAATTAAACCGGACCTAACAAGAATATAAAAGAACATATATATTTATTTTAAATCTAACAAACAAACACTCATCGATAAATAGATACATTCGTACGATAGATTGGAGTAAACCGGACTAGACTAAAAAAGAAAGCACATAACAGATGCTTATGTCCAAAAACTGAATGTGAACAACACAACCGCTGCAACGTAGGCAAGAGCAAATAAAATATTATAAGCTCCTTTTGCTTTGCCTTTCAACAGAGCCTGAAGATTCAGCTTTTCCATTGCATTCATCAACAAAGCTATGGTTTTCTGTCAACAAAAATAAATTTGAAATTTCTTAATTAAGACAAAATAAATGACACGATTTGAAAGTTTGGTACGCTATTAAAATTTATCAAACCTAAACTTCTTGTATATATTCTCACCAGTCTTAGAGGTTCAAAGTGAAGGACTGGCTCCATGAACATGTCCATATTCCTGCAGGATATACCCATATATTTTGCTAAATACTCCAAAAATTCAAATAAAATCCAATTATAATCAACTTATTTCATTTTCTCCTTACTTTATGATCACCTTTCCCTGGTACAAATGGCACATGTAGATGCTGTAACCCTTTCCCAAAGGAATTACTGGAAACTTATCCCATGCTGCAGGGATAAAAAAACATTATCAGTATGTAAGGGGTAGGGTGGCTGGGTAGGTGGGGTTGAGGAGGGGGAAATAACCTAGTTTCCAGGATACTCCAACAACCATGCCATCATCCAATGTGGGTTGCACTACAAATACAATGTTTTTTCCTATTTTATTCATGAAATAAGAGAAGAAATCCAGTATTTGCTGCAAAGGAAATCCAATTCAGGTAAGAGATTATACAACATAAGCCAATTTACACTGAATTTGGCTGGAATGGAGCAAACCACACAATTTAAAAAAAAAAAATTATTTACGGAGTGGAGCTTAATTTCTAGTAGTTTACAAGTGGAATGGCGAACCACCTCGACTAAAAATTAAAGTCATTAGACGAGGTGGTTGAACGTGGTAACTAAGCATGCAAAATTTGAGTTGTTAGATCTCTGATGGTTTTAACTTTTAGACAAGGTTCAATGATCTATACCAAATTACTTATGTACCTCCTTCCCATGCAAAGGTTGGAAAGCAGAAATAAAGTTGGAAATGAAGACGCATTCTTCTGCGATCATATCAGACATTTCACTAAGATTTCTATTCTTAATTGCTTCGAAAAGCTTCAGCACTGTCTCCATAGCTCTTTGATCGTCGGCCGGAGGTGGAGGCAGAGGCGGAGGTCCCGACTCTTTGCTATCGCATGCGACTCTCTTTAGGCCTGTTCTTGTGCAGGTTTTACCTTTAAAACTTCTGTAAGAATGGATCACATGAGAAAATTGTGCTGTTCGAGGTATATTTTTAAGGTTAAATTCCATGTCTAGGCATGGATGACACGCAGGTCTTGATCTAGATATTAATGGTGAGGAATTTGTGAGCATTTTACAGAATGCCATGGCGGAAGGGATAGGGATTGAGCCCATTTAATATTTGGATGATTTGAAAATTAATTTCAGAATTTATAGTGTGTTTAGTAGGGATTTTTGAGGAAAGAATTGATTTTTGAATAGTGATATGATGGGAAATGTATGGTTGAGAAAGAAGAAAAAAGTATTGATGTGATGAAAAATATTATTTTATTGAAAAATGTGTGATTGAAAATGAGAATTAATTTACTGTAGAAAATAAGAATATGTACCAAACAGGCTCTTAATAAAGCTGAAAGAGAGAAGGGTATTGGGTGCATTGTAATTTAAGAATAAAGGAACACATTCTCCAGTGGCAAGCTTAGAATCTTTCTTAAAGAAATGCTATTTCTCGTTCTTGATTTTCAGAGCATGTTTGGCTGAGCTCGAAAATTTGACTTACAAGTAAAGAAGTTAGCTTTAAGGCCTATTTGGGAGGGATTAAATTTTTCCACAGTAAATCAATTCTCATTTTCAACCATACATTCTTCAATAAAATAATATTTTTCATCACATCAATAATTTTTTCTTCTTTTTCAACCACGCATTTTCCATCATATCACTATTCAAAATCAATTCTTTCCCCAAAAATCTCTCCCAAACAAGCTCTTAAAATAAACTACTTTTTTATTGATGAAATTTGAAACTGATTTACTTCACATTAACTGGCTAAGAATTGCTTTAAAAATAAATAACTTTTTTTATAAATAAGAAAAAGTAACTTAAAATATTTTCATCTGTTTATTTACAGACAACACACAACGGGATGGCGGGAAAAAATTTGAACCATTTTTTAATCAGGTTGATCCGACGTGGGAACCCACCTCTTGTAAGAGGTCGGTAAGACCTCTGAGAACGCCATTTCTGTACGCTTGAATTAATTCCATGCCTAATCTATCAGATTAGACAGGAAATCCTCTCCTTAATCATTCCATTTCCGTCATAATACAATCTTAAATAATAAATAACATTAGAAGTGGGTCCCTACAATCACGTTAGGCATATAGGTAGGTACTGCTACTGGTCTGAATAGCAAAACCCCTTTGTATTATTTCTTATTTTATTTATATTTTTAAATTAAATAGTATCAAAAGATATTAATAAAAAATAAATAAATAAGTAAACGCTCGAGGACTTTTAGGAGACGAGATCAGAAGGAAATTAAAATATTTGGTCAGTTTATTTATTTATTTTAAAATCAGCTGTGAATCCTCAATTCACCTTCATTTTAGTACTAGGGAGATATGGCATCTGGAGGAATTAAAATATAAACAAATTTGTTAATTTCTAAAATTTAAATGAAGTAGTTTAACAATAATTTCTAACATTTGATAGGTTGAAGTAGCTTACAATTCATTGAGATTAGGCAAAGAATGTCATGATCTCCTATTAAAATGTTTAAAATCTAATCTAATATTTTGATATTTATAATGTTTTATAAATTAATCTCATGTTTGGTATGGATTAAAATCGATTGTTTAATAAATTTTGATAAAAATTGATAAAATACACATAAATATATAAATGTGTGATTAAAAATAATTATTCATTTTAATTAAAATCTGTGGGCTAATAATGCAAAGCAAAGCGAGTTTTCGAGGGGGAACATGGTCGGAGATTCAGTGTGGATGACTGTAATCCAGCGTGGCCATGGCATGGCATGTGGGTCCCCTGCTCGAGTTTACTACCTGGCAAGGACCTACAAGGTGGTCCCTTTTCCAAAGTGTTATTTTTGGAATAAGTCGGAATTGAACGGTACGCACGTCAACAATTTTTATTTCGACGTGGGTTCCTTTGGCTTTTGAATCAGTCATATTAACACAAAAGTCCTTACGTTTGATTTTTAGTGTGCAAAACGTCCTCACGTTTCAATTATTTGCATTTTCATCCCTATTTTCATGTTTCATTGCGAAAAACGTCATTTTCATAAATTTTTATCAAATTTCTTAATAAAAATATGTAAAATAACGAATATACCCCCATATTTACATAAAACAAGAAGAAAAATAAAGAACTAATTACAACCGTACTCCGAAACCTTTTTAAAATGAGGATGTTTTGCACATTAAAAACTAAACGTATATACGTTTTGTGCTAATAAGCTTTTGTAGGGGAAAATTTTCTTAGAATTATTTAATGGAAGCTTCTAGCTCGATTGAATTGCAGTTTATGAAGAATTAATGAGTTCTTGAAC